TCTGCCTAATTCGGAGGTCCAGACTCAGTGGCTACAGGAGCTAGTGATGGGTGACAATTAACATGAGTGCGGGTTGGGTAGGATGGAGGTAGGGACTGGGGTAAATTAGAAGGTATATGCTCCCTTGGAGGATACATCCTTTCTCTGCACCTTTTGGTGGCTGCCATGTGAGTCCATGTGACCAGATCTTGAGATGTTCTAAGCAAAGTTAAATATCTGATATTGGATATTAAAAACTCCAAGTTTTAAATGTGGTTGAGATGTTGAAGATGGTGTGGGCTAAATCCAAACAGACTAATAAACACGAATGGACTCAGGAGGTTTGCTTAGTAAGACTGGCCTATAGTCAAAAAGTATACTTCACAGACCTCAGACTTTCTTGATCTCTTCAGTCTGGGCAGCTCTATCCTCCTGTGTGTGTGTGTGTGTGTATGTGTATGAGAGAGAGAGAGAGAGAGAGAGAGAGAGAGAGAGAGAGAGAGAGAGAGAGAGAGAGGAGAGGGCTTCACGTATGTTAGCAAGCAGCCCAACAACTGAGCTGCATCCCTAGACCGCAGCTCTTCTATTTCTTAGCTGTTTGTGATGTTGAGTAAATGACTTCCTCTTTCTGTTTTCTTTACGTGGAAGATAAGCATGGCAGTGCCTGCTTCTTTAAGTTGCTGAGAGGATTTGGCTGGTTTTTTGGTTGACAGGCAGGAGCTTTCCAGAAAGGAGAGCTAGTCTCCCATCTATCCTTCTTTGAATCAGTCCTGGGGCAAGTGTTCACTTGAAGAAGGAGAGGCAAAATTAACATCTGGTTGTCCAGTTCCAGTGAGGCCCTATGTCACCTTGACACTGTGTGCTGGTGGTGTATTCAACTTCATTCTATACCCTCAAAACAAAACAAAAGCACAAACAAACAAACAGACAAAAAAACAAAAATTACCAGGCCACAGTATCTATCTCAGTGGCTGAAGTACAAAGCAGGGACAATACTGAGAGCTGCCAGGGATCCTGGCTCATTCATGCCAGGCGCAAGCCCTCTGGAAAGGAGAGTGGTGATTTCTTTAAAACTTACTGGGGCAATTACCAGATCACCTGACAGTTGTGGTCTGAGGGCATTTGCTCATGAGAAATGAAAACTTATGCTTACACAAAAACCTGTCCATGAATTTAATAGCCACAAATTGGAAACAACCCACATCTTTTCCAGTAGCTGGATGGGGAAACAAATTAATGTTCAGTAGAATACTAGATAGCAATGAAAAGGAGAGAAGTATTGGCCTGTATGGTAATTCGGATGAACCTCAAAGGAATGATCCATGTGGAATGAAGAAAGCCAGTCCTCAGACCTTATTTGCTTTCTCCTCTTGTTTCTATAGTGTTGTTTGAACAAAAGCCTAGAGACAGGAACAGATTAGTGCCAAGGGCTGGGATGTGAATGGGTTTGGGGGCACTTAGGGGAGCTTTTGGGGGTTGCCTGCAGGGGTGCTTGTAACTGAGGAGCGGTTGATAATTTACTGTGGTGGTATGCACTGATAAAATTACTTTAGAGGAAACATACAAATAAGAATCTGTAAGTGGGGAATATGGATTAAAATTGGTGGGTCATGTCCCTGTTCTCAAAATAAAAAGTTAATTACAAAAGGATTGTAAGACTTTTTAAAAGATGTTATATTTTATTTTAATTTTTTTTACAGTGTTAGGGATTGAACCCAAGTCTCATTCATGCCAGACAAGCATTCTGCTCCTAAGCTAGAGCCCCAGGGTTTCTTGTTGTCTTTTCTTTCGTCCCTTTTTGTTTTTTCTAGACAGGTTTCTCTGTGTAGCACTGGCTGTCCTGGAGCTCACTCTATAGATCAGCCTGGTCTCAAACTCAGAGATCCATCTGCCTCTGCCTCCCCAGTGCTGGGATTAAAGGGATGTGCCACCATACCGGTTCTCTCTCTCTCTCTTTCTCTCTCTCTCTCTCTCTCTCTCTCTCTCTCTCGCTCTCTGTCTTTCTCTCTCCCTCTTTTCTTTTGTGTTGTTCTTTGCTTGTTTATTTAATTTAGAGACAGGGTCTCAGTAAGCCACTTAGGCTGGCTTTGAACTCACTCTAGCTCAGACAGGACTGGAACTTGAAATCCTCCTGCCTCTGCCTCCCAAGTAGTGGGATGACAGGCTGCCACCAGACCCAGAACAACTTCCAAGTTACTTAAAACCAAAACCAAAACCAAACCAAAGCAAAGAGTATGAAAGCCAGGCAGCTGAGTCTTGTTCTTGGTTTATTGACAACTGAGATTAGTCCCACTCAGACCCCTGGAGCCTTGACCCCACGGCACTGCCCAATTTGTTTCCCCTCCAGCTGCTTCGGGCTTATTTTCTGGTTTTAGGGATTGAGAGAGATGGGCCTTTTGACTACTTCTTGGCTCCTAAGGGACTGGACTGGAGATCCCTGTTGCTTGTCCTTGAAAGAAAGGCAGTCTGGAGGAAGGATACTGAAATAAAGGACCCAGGAGATCATCAGTATTCAGGCTTGTTTGATTTCCCCGAGAAGGCACCTTTTTGTTTGTTTGTTTGTTTGTTTTTTGCATCCCACAGATGTGGACCCACCTATCTTTCCATGTCTCCCAACAGCCTTGCCTGGTGGGTTGAGGGTGCTCTGTCTTCACGCCTCCCCTTCTCTTCTCCTTTGCTAGTAGGTGTGCAACCTTAGCCAGCTCCTTTCTTCTTGAGTACCCTGGGAATTTGGGAGGTGATAGAGCTTTTTTTTTTTTTTTTTTTTTTTTTGCAGATGGGAATACAATCTTTGAGAGGTTCAAGTGATTGTTCAAAGACCCCTTTCCAAGTGGTGATCCAGGCAGGAAGTGACATAACAGGGAGACTCATATTTAAGGAAGGACAAACAGGAAGTGGGCCCCTTTTCCCCTCTGCTCTTCCTCCAGCGGCGCGATGTGATCTGTCGGCAAGGGAAGACGCCAATGGAAGGCGTCTTATAAAATATATAGATTTATGATAATTAAGACTAAGCTAACAGATGAGAATCCTAGATATTAGCCAAGCAGCATTTGTACCTAAAAAAAAAGAAAGACCTCTTTCCTTTGCCTCAGGGAACCCAGAGTCTGTGGCTATGTGAAGCTTCAATCTCTTGAGAGTGAATGCAGGTCCTTTTCCTTTGAAGGCTCTCCAAGGTGTGTATGTGGGGGAGACTTTAGCCAAAAGTTTCCAGGTCTCACAGTTCAGCAGTTCGTAAACTTTGGAGTCTGGGGAGTACTTTAACCCTTGAAATTCAGGCTCTTAAAGATGTTTTGTTTATGAAAATTGTTTTTTTTAATGTTTTTGACTATAAAGTCCAGGCTGGCCTCAGGTTGGTAAATGTGCTTGCCAGCAAGCCTGATGACCTGGGTTTGATTCCCAGAACCCAGAACTTGATGGAAAGAGAACCGACTCCTGTAGGTTATCCTTTGACCTCCTCATGGGCATCACTGTGGTGCTGTGTGCCACAACCCAGAAGTAAACTGTAAAAAAGAAAAACAAAACAAAAAACCATAAACCCATCATGTGTTATAACCATGCCGGACATTTTGATGAAAACCAACAAACAAACAAAAGTAGTGAGAAAGAGAGTTGCCGTTTCTCTCTGTTGAGCTTTTCCCTGAGTGTCATAAGCCACCTATTGTGTAAAGTATTAGGACCTTCACATACTAGTGACAGAGCAAGAGCAGAAAAGGTTAGCAGTGTAGTCCTCCATTTATGCAAATAGTTTTGCTTTGTGGAAGCCTCGAAAGGGCCTCAGGGTGTTCCTCCACAGCATGCCTGGGCCTACTTTGAGGGCCACTGAAGATTTACTGACATCCTCTTGTTTCCTTCTGGTCCTGTTTGCCCATCCTCATTACAGCATGCATGCCATAAAGAGCAAAATAAGGGAGGCTCTGGGGCCTGGCATTCGTGCGTCTGAGGACTTGGCTTCTATTTGTTGCTTATTTATTTATTTGTTTGTTGTTTTGAGAGTGGGTCTCTCATGTAGCTCAGGCTAGCCTCAAACTCACTATGTAGCCAAGGGTGACCTCAAACTTTTGATCCTCCTGCCTGTATTTGCTCAGGGCATAGATCACAGGTTTATATGGTGCTGTGGATCAAACCCAGACTTGGTTTCTGCCAGGCAAGGAAGGAGCCAGCTGAACCCTATTTCTAGCCCCCAGGGCTTCTGTTTGAATGCTGCACAGCCTTGGGTTTCCTGGGTTTGGTCACCCCCATGCTGTCCTGAGCCCCAAGATGTCCTCTGGTTCCAGTGTCATATAGCTTATTCCTTGAAGTACGATGCCTTTGTACAAAGAAGCTGCAAAGATCAGGCTCTTGTTAGCCAACTGTGGCTTGAAAGTTCTGCAGCAGAACTTTCTAGAATAATGGAAAGATCTCTATCTAGATATCCACCATGGGAACCACTAGGAAGTGTGCACTTAGATGTGACTGTAAAACGGTACAGTTTTACTTTAATTAATTCAAATATACATGACCACCACCACCACCTCAGCTCACAGCACAGGCAGGCACACCGCTCCTAAGAATCTGTACTTTTAGTTTGGTGGTGGTGGTGGTGTCGTACATCTTTAATCCAAGCACTTGGGAGGCAGAGGCAGGTGGATCTCAGTGAGTTCGAGGCCAGCCTGGTCTACAGAGTGAGTTCCAGGACATCCAGGACTATTATACAGAGAATGCTGTATCAAAAAAACAAAACAAACAAACAAACAAAAAACAAAACAAAACAAAATGACAACAACAACAAAAGAGAATCTGCACTTTTGCTTTTGGCACAAATGGAAAGAAAACCTCAAGGGAGCTTTGAACTCTGGTCAAGGTAGTCGGGTGATTTTCTATACCATGTAATGTGTATTCTCCGGACTGGCCAGCTCATCTGTGTATCTGTCTCCCCTCTCTAGGCCCCACCATGAGGCTCCAGCCCCTCGGGAGCCCCTGCGCTCCCCTGGCCCCGGGTGCACCGTGCTAGCCCCAGGCAGGGCAAGGGCAGGTGCAGGGCCATGGCCAGCCACGTGGACCTGCTCACGGAGCTGCAGCTGCTGGAGAAGGTACCTACGCTGGAGCGCCTGCGCGCAGCCCAGAAGCGCCGGGCACAGCAGCTGAAGAAGTGGGCGCAGTATGAACAGGACCTGCTTCATCGGAAGCGCAAGCATGAGCGAAAGCGCAGCACCGGTGGCCGTCGCAAGAAGGTGTCCTTTGAGGCCAGTGTGGCCCTGCTCGAGGCCTCACTGAGGAACGACGCCGAAGAAGGTAAGCCCCCTGCTCCTGTGCAGGAGCAGGCCACCCCATCAGTCCACATTAGGAAGAAGATGGCCCCTACTCCTGAGACAGTCTCATGTAGCCCAGGGTGGCCTCCGCTTGTAATGCAACCGAGTACAACCTTTAACTTCTGATCCTCCTACCTCCGTCTCGCAGGAGCTGGGACTGTAGGCCTGTGAGGACCACACAGTTCTTCCCACCCCCAACCTTGGCTTTATCTTAGCCTGCTGTTTTCATTGTTGGAGACAATGAGTCCAGCTTTTGGCTAATGAATACAATAACAATTTCCCTTCCCTCCCACAAATATTTACTGACAGCCTGCTTCCTGCAGCACTGGCACTCTGTACGGAATAATGATCCTCCTCCCTCCACCCCAACAGCTAGATACTCTAGGATGTTGTTGCATTTCTGAAATCCTCTATGGTCCTCACTCAGCCTGTGGCATGCTGTTCTGGTGTCTCCTTTTACGTGCTGGAAGGGAACACAGGGTCTAATAGAAGGAGTCAGCATTTTATCAGAGAACCACACCCCCAACTCTGTTCTCAGTTCACTTTCCACTGCCGTGTCTGTGGTAGAGGGGGCTGGTGAGATAGATCAGAGGTTAAGAGCACTGACTGCCCTTCCAGAGGACCTGGGCTTGATTCCCAGCACCCACATGGCAGCTCACGATCAGCTGTAACTCCAGTTCCAGGGGACCTGACATACTCTGCTGGCCTCCCCAGGTACCAGACATATGTGGTGCACAGACATACACACAGGCAAAACACCACTACACATAAAATAAAAATGGTAACATTTTAAAAATGTATCTAGACTCTGGAGGTGGACAACCTGAGTCTGAAATTGGCTGTGCATGTCCCTATGTGACCCTGGCACAGAGATTTTCTTCTGTTTTCTGCCCTTAGACTCTACTTGTCTGAAATGGGGGAGATCGTAGCATCCTCATGAAGGCCTTGTGAGCATTCAGTTGAGTAATACCCATGAAGTATCTTTGGACAGGGCCCCTCATGTTAAGTATGTGGTTGAAGTTTTAAAAAGTTTGCTTTTTGAGTTTGAGACAGGCTCTCAGGTAGCCCAGGCTAGTCTCTGTGTAGTTGAAGATGACCATGAATTCTTGATCCTTCTGCCTCCACTTCCCAAATTCTAGGATGGCAGGTATGGGCCGCCACAGCTGATGTATCAGTATGTTTTATTATATTGTTACCTTTTATTTCTTTAAATGTATAGTTTATATTCTAATGGAGGTCTATAAAACTGGAAGCAGAGACGGGTACACACCACTTTGTCCAGGATGGTTTTACTCTCTGAACTGTGTAAATACATGAATGCATGTTCACACAGTTTCCAGGTTGCACGGTTACCCTGTACTGGTTATGTTTAACAACACCTGTTTTACGGATAGGGATATTAGGCTCAGAGAGATTCAGAACCTTGACCCATGCAGGATAACAGGACCAGAAACCCTTGGACACTACTCCATGGCTTTTCAAGTTTGCTTTCTACAGCTAGAATGGCTGGAGGACTCAGGGTCTTTGAGCATATGCTCGAGTCTGTTCATTATAGCTGAAGTTTGTGAGCTTGCCCTTTCACCACTCAGTAGCATCTGCATTACCCCTGGAGAGGCCCAGCATGTCCCCTGGACTCCTCTGTACCCTCTCCTGTCATTAGGCACTAAAACAGTCAGTGGAAGAGCTGAGGGCGGCATGGAGAACATAAGAAAGTGTGGACTTTTGTAGGCTGAGCATTCCTAACCATGGAAATCTGAAGCTTTTGGGGCACCTCGTAGATGTCCCACATAGCAGCTAACACACATGACCTCATGGGATAGGCTGTAAACTACAGGTGGGCTAGAAATGACCCCCAAGCTGCTTGCAGCAAGTGTGCAGGAAAGAGAAGTGAACTTACGTTGACTTGGGTCCTGTCCTTGAGATATCATTGTGAGTATTTCAGAGCAAATCTAACTCTCTTCATCACAAACCTTTCAGATAAGAGATACAAAGCTGTGCTCACCTTACCCTTCAGCTTCTAGAATGCCTTGAAAGCCCCATACCAATGATCCTGGTAATACCGGGCTCTAGGACATGAGCTTCAAACGGCTTAGGTGAGAGCTGGGTGAGCCCCTGAGAGGCATGATGGCTCAGGCTGGGGATGTGGCCCCGAGGTGCCTTCCCACGTGTGGTTTGGTGTTCTGGGTGACGTGGCGGTCCCATCCCACTCAGGGGGTGGCTGGCAGGCTCATGATGAGGTCTAATTTTTGATGGGGGTGGTAGTTCACTAACTCCTCTCTCCCCACTTGCCAATTACGCTCTTCTTCTCTGGAAACCCCCATTTCCCCTCCCAAGGGACTCTGCTGGCTTTGAGAGTTGGCTGTGTGTTTCAGAACAGCCACCAGGGAGATGGCACCTAACTAGCCCACTACCCAAATAATCCTGCCTTTTCAACTGTCAAGTGTGCTGCTTAGAAGAAACATAGCTTGGAGTTTAAGAACGCTCCTCCACACCATCCCTAGTCTATGACCTTGAACAATTTGTTTTTCCTTTCCGTTTTCAATTTTCAAATCTGTCATGGAGCACCGAGGACTTGTCTTCAACAGAGTGTGGCGGGAACTAGAAACAGTTCTAGATTTATGTAGTCCAGCTGGTAGAGGGCTTGCCTAGCATGTGTGAGGCCCTGTGTTTGGTCCACAATACTATGTAAAGTGGGCATAGTGTCCCATACCTGTGATTCCAGTACCAGAGGCAGGAAGGTCAGATATTCTCCATCATCCACAGCTACAAACTGAGTTCAAGGCCCCAGCCTGGAGTACGTGAGACCCAGTCTCTACAGAACAGCAAAACATCCTAGACCTTTGAAAGTTACCCTGAACCCCGTGTCAGAACAGCAGTGATTTAAATAGTTTTTCAGATAAAAAAGATTTTAATGCTTAAAAATATCCAATTCATACAAATGAATTCTTACTAAAATCAAACAACATAGAGTTGTACAGACCAACAAGTCCCCTCTTCTCTTCCTCTCTTCCCTTTCCCCTCTAATCCCTGCTGGCTGGTTTGATGTGTTTCCTTCTAGTAATGCTTCTTTCTCTGTGGACCGGGAGGCACATAGACCTTCATATTTCCCTAAGCTTTAATATAAGTAAAGTCATCGTGGAATCCCAGACGCGTGACTTTAGTTTTCACTCCCCACACGCCGGCATGAAGTCTTGGAGTTATGCGTGCCAGATCACATGCAGTGCAGCAGACTCGGATGGGTCACTGTGTGATGTTTTGTAGTCGATGTCACCAGAATCTACACAATTTCCCAGTAGTTTTTGTTTGTGCACAGTAAACTTTTGGGCATGTGTCTAAGTATTTATCTTGGACAACTGTGGAAACATGTTTGAGAGTTGGATGGAAGTTATTAAATTTGAGTAAGAAAAGGCCTTTGGACATGACAGACTCTGAAGACCCCCCATGGAAGGCTTCACCCTCCCTGGGGAGCAGAAAGGGTATGGGATAGGTAGGGTGTTAGTTGGGGGGGGGGCAGGGGAGGAGGGGAGGCAGAGGCACCTGGGATTGACATGTAAAATAATCTTGGTTCTAATTTGAATTAAAAAATGGAGAGAAAGAAAGAAAAAAGAAAAGGCCTTTGGATTGGTGTCATTGTGGTGTAAAAAGCTGTAGGGGTCTTGTGAAGGGAGCCCGGGGGTCCACAGGTACCCATGTTTGAGGCTGCCATCAGTCAGCCCTTGAACTTGCTGAGCTCTGCTCAGCTTCCTGGCAGCCTGACAGAGCTCTCTGTGCCTGGCTGGCTGAGAATGGCTTCTGCTTGCTGGCTGAGCTGGTGTTTGGGAGGCTGCTGGGGTGTTAGCTCACAGTGGCGTGGGAGCATGGGGTGGCAGCTCCCCACTCCCTTGAGCTCATAGCATCCTGAGTCAACCTCCCCACCTGCAGTGGGGGTGTGTGAGAGTTGTTCCCCAGAGAAAGGCAGTCTTTCTCTGGCTAATGTCCTTGACCTAGGTAGGACCTGCTCTAGCCCCCTGACCCCCACTCCTCAGTATCCTTTGATTGCCCCACCAGGGTCTCCTCATGTCCTCTAAGTTCTTTTGCCTTCTTGGCACCTGTGGGTGCATGTTTTCCTCAGCTGGCATACTTTCTTGGATGAACCTCTCTAACTCTTCAGGTTCCCAAGGAGGGCTAACTTCAAGCCTCTGGCCACCCTCGCCATCACGAGCACGGAAACCTCACTGTTTCCTGTGAGGCAGCAGAGAGCCAGGGGACTGCAGTTCATCCTCCTGAGATCTCAGCTCTACTGTTGACTTCCTGTGCATTTTGGGGACACTCACATAACTTTCCTAGACCTCAATTTCCTCACTTGAGCATGTTAATACACCTACCACGTAATGTCGAGGGGCTGACTTGAGTTGGTAAATGCCGAAGAGGTGTGGTAAGAAGTGGGGAAGTGGCAGAAGCTGTTATTTCTGCAGTATCTATTATTCCCCATTTGCGTAAGCTCTCCTTATTATATATTCTGACTCTCACCTTCATGACTATTTATCAGGTACCATGTACCAGGCAGCTGCTTTGCGTACGCCATCTTGCCTAATCCTTCCAGCCACTCTCTGAAGCTGGGATAGTGAAATCCTATTTTGGAAAAGTAACTTGGGGTTTCATTTGCATATCATAAGATCTGACCATTTTTTTTAACTGTTCAGGGGCTTCCACAAACCCTCAGAGCTGTGTGCCCATCTTCACAGTCTAGTTTTAGAACTAGTTCATCGCCCCTTGCTACTGCGAAATCATACCCAGGTCCACTCCCAGTCCTTGGGTACCATGAGTCTACTTCTAACTTTTCTGGATGTTTCCTTCTTCTGAAGTCATGCAGTGTATGATCTCTCCTGGTCATCTTCTTTCATTCAGTAGAGAAGTTTGAGCTTGGCCAGGTTGTATCTCATGTGAGCTCTTGCTCCCTTGTTCCAGCCCTACAGTGCTCCCAGTATGGATGTACTATAGTGG